CAGTCCCTAGCAAGCAGCTGGCATCCTCAGAGCTGGTGTAGAGATGGCATGTGTTAATCTGAAAAGACTAATTGTGAGCCTCAGTATGCACTCACCTCCCCTTCCAACCTTCCTTTTCTGACAAGTAGCTGTATATAAATGAGATCTTTTGGTTGTTAGCGGAACATCGTGGGAGGTACAAGTGGATTTCACATCTGCCTCAAAGGTTACTTGCAGTGCTATGAGTTGATTGGCATTTCAGTCTACCATGGAAACTTTCTTTCAAAATCATGGCACACAGAACAGAGGCTATTATAAGGTTGGTTCCTGTCAAAAAAACAAAAATGTGTCTGGGGGGAGGGTGCACAATAACATTCTACAAAGTCTGCTACTATGTCTTTCCTGCACAATGCTTTTAGAACTCTGAAGGGCTGAGTTCTAGCTCTCCTTGCCCCTTATCCCCATCCATTCTTCCATCTTCCCCACCACCCCTCTCCATACTTTTTATTCTACATACTGCACCAGACCTAATTTAGGTGCTGGGGATGCAGCTGTGCACTGAGTTGCACTCATCTCTCTGTATGCCTCATACAGCAAATTTGGGGAGTGAAAGAAAAGGTAAGCCCTTTCCATGCTAAATTGTTGCAGGTAGTCTGGAAAGCAAAACCCACCCCCACTAAGTTGCTTTTTAGTGGTTTCTTAAGGTTGTCCTTCCTTCAGGAGTGTCCTCTTGCCTAATAAATTAAGCTGCTTTTGAGAAACGAGAAACCACTGGGCCCATGCTGTTCTAGCGCCCTCCTGTTGTGTAATACAAAATAGGTCAACAATTTTGGAATTTGATTTGCTATGAAGGTTATACTTTTAAGAGTCAAGAGAAAGGGAGAGCTTCAGCCTTAACTTGAAAGCTCCTGGAAACTAAAATACTAAGAGTTGTGTGCTTTTCTCAAATTTCTCCAATAAGAGACTCTTGGTTACCTCTTATGACACCTTTTCAATAACCAAGAGATGGCACAGGGAGAGTTACGTCTGTACAACACACAGGTCTTACATCATAAAAACCACTGCAGATAGTCCCTGACTTAAGATGGTTTGACTTAATGATTTTTAAACTTTATGATGGTGTTAAAACAATACATATTCAATAGAAATGGCCGTTCTGAATTTGGATCTTTTCCTGGGCTAATGTGCTATGAATATTCCTGTTTCGGTGGGCAGTGGTAGCTCCCAGTCAGCCATGCAACCATGAAAGTAAACAACGGATACTTAGAACCATTGTTTTCACCTCAGTATTCAATAAATTCCGTAAGATAGTCAACACTTTGTTATAAGCTTTAAGATGCCTTTGCCCAACACTGGGTTAACTCAAGTGTTCTGAGCATGTTTAAGGTATATTAGGCTCAGCTATGATGTTTGGAAGATTTAGGTCCATTAAACGCATTTTCAACTTAAGGTATTTTCAACTTAATGAGTTTATCAGGATGCAAACTGGTCAAAAGTAGAGGAAGGTCTGTAAACTCATCAATATGGTGAGAGAAAGCTTTCATTTTAACTCCTTGATGCAAGCCGTGCTTCCTAAGCCTGTGCTTCATCTTTTCTGCCCTAATGACTGGTCACATCTAAGACATATCTAGCCTCTCTGTCCCAAACTACGGCAGATTTTGCTAATTTTCCCTCAGTCCTGCATGCACAGGCCTCCGCTGCCTTGAGTGACGTGAACTTGTAACTCTAAATGTTGCTGATGTATATTGCTTAGCAACAAGAAGTAACTGCTCAACTGCTCATTCCCAGATAGTAAGCCCAGTTTCTCCCAGAAACAAAAAGATGCTGTTTTTCTAAAAGCGCCACCTACTGGCCAAAGCACAGAACAACAATGGGCATAGGAGACATTCTGTTACTGCTGTCTAAGGGCTAATTTCAACCATTTTGAAGGCTTTAGAAGTAATACTTACATGTTACACAGAACTTCATGATATCTCAAAGCTTTATCCTTGTATTTGATAAGTTAAAAGTTGAGCCTTGTTAAAAATTCTTAGCTATGTGGCATCGGACAATTCTCTAATCTGCAACCTGTGAATGTACACCAGGGAAGCCATCTCCTAGGATGATTGTGGGGAAGTTTGTCACAGACTCTTCCCTTTCTAGATGAAAATGTACAAATTACCTAAGGATAAAGATAGCATGCCTCACCATTACGTTAGCTGAGCATCAGTGGCTTAATCACATTTTAAGTGAAAGGATATTGTGCTACTTTCGGCAGTAATGCTCAAAAACAACTTACTTTGTTTCAGGAACTCCAGAATGAGTGAATTAAAAATCTTCAAAATCCAGGTATGTAAAGAGAGTAGAGAGGACACACATATGCATTGTTAGAACCAACACAGGAGAAAAGAAATAATGCTTCTTGGGGTACAGACACCCATGTCTTAACACTCTCTCTCAACAGGAGGAATGTAGGCTCAGGTTCTCATCAGCTTGGCTGAGGGAGGAGCTACATACACTACAGCTTTCTTCAGAGCCAAAGGCGTAGTGTCAGAAACATTTCTGACAAATCAGTTACATGTCTTTTTAACTGGCATTTGAGAGCATTCTCCTTTCCCAGCCCTCCTCTCCACCTTAATGTAAGACATCGTCTGTAGAAGAAAACATTCAGTTCTTAACAAATAACCAATTTCATACCAATCCTGCAAAGAGAATGGAAGTAAATATTTGGCTTCTACTACTGTGATCTTCAAAAGCTGGACCATGCCCTTGACCCTATTCCTATTGAATGGAGGATTAGAGAATAGCTAATTTATGCCCATCGAGTTTATTCTTTGCCTTTGCACAGCCTTCAGGGGATGACAGGTTTTCTAAACACCAAGGGGCGTTAGGCAATTGTGATCTATGAATCTCAAGTTTCCAAATCTTGAAAGAGAATAGTTTGTGATCTGATGCCAAGATTTAAGGCAAATTATCTTGGGACAGGCTAAATTTTAACAGAACATTCTTAATGAAAAGTTCCACACTATTTAAAAATAATTTGCTTTTTTCTGCCTCAAACCATGGGTTCAGGCCTCACAGAGCCCAAGGTAGCACACGTCTCTGGGCCAGTGGCAGGGAGATATAACTGAAAGGGTGCTCAGGAGGGTCTGGTCTCCAAAGTACTATTATTTAACTGAACTATAGGTTAAACATGCTTTGAAGCATTAGACCTAGCTGCCCAACCATCCCAATTCAGTTTCCCATGAAAACAATGCTATTTTCCAAACTGATCTACCATCAATTTTTCGTAAGATTAGAAAACCTCAAGAAATTAAAATTATTTCTAACCTCTGTACAATCTGTAGCAACTGGACTACAAATGAAATAGTCTGACTCTAGACTCAATTTTATCCCTAGCTTTCTACATAACAATTAAGTGCCATTTATTTTAATGATGAACATTTGTAGTTGTAGACTTCTTGGAGCTTCCACAATTCAGGAGAATTAAGAAACAGAACCACATGAAGATTAGGATAACTGGAATTTTTTTATGTTTTAAAAAAAGCTAGCCTCATGCTATCTTCACTGGAAACCAGTTCATTCTTTTATATTCTACTTCACACTTCCTGTACTTGGATGTAAGTAAAAGTTTCCTCTTTGACTGGACTGTAAGGTCACAAGTAGTAGGTAACCAATCCCACAATAAGAATTTTTCAAATGCTGACCTGAGAATACTCTTGCTTTGCTAAATCAGAACAAAATCAGTGAGCTAAAAATGATAGGTTACCTAGATATGGGACTATGCCTACCACCACAGTTCCTTAAGATGAGAATTTCCTGTTTGGAAGGTCACAGACCACCAGTTAGAAAATAATAAAGGAAAAATTCTTATGTCAAAACCTAAATACAGTCACATTTAAACCCACCCTTTCTTCATGTTTTATTTCTGCAAGCATATTAGGATTTTTATCATCTTCCATAGTTGAAATAGCAATGTAACCAATCAGGAACTTGTACCTCTTCACAAGCAGAAAAAAGAGATGAAAAGGTTAAGGACAACCTTTATTGCTACCAGAGGCTTTTATCATCAGTACATGGTTCTGACTGCAATACCTTCTTCAGACTGCACAGGGAGCTCAGGATCCATAAGTCATTAAGAAATATAGGTAGGCTGGGGAGGCAGGGGGATTAACTTTTATCAAGAAAATCCTAATAGCTTAACATAAAACTAGGGCACTGAATTCAGTTATTACATGTTACAGACCCAAATCATAAAGCTGCCCCCACATCTAGACAGTCTCTCCTACTGATTATAAATGAGTGAACTGATCAGTTAGCAAAAAAAAAAAAAAAAATCAATTTTAGTTGTTACAGAACACGTTTCTTTGGTGAGCACCTGGATATATTAACTTTATCAAATTCTTTTATACAAATGTCAAAGATGCTTTCAACAAATCTAAGTGTCCTAATCACATGCCAATTTTAAGCTTCAATTTAAAATAAACAAAAATGAAAATTTTGTTTCCAAACTCTAGAAATTGAAAGGAGACAAACAAATCAACACAGTAATGGGAGTCCTTTTTCTATAACCACCTCTGATTCATGAGGCAATTCTGAAGTACCCTTTCCAGATTAATTTAAATTTGAATCATGGATTAAACATGGCTGTTACACAAATAATTTGTTCACTAAATTGCTAAAAAAAATTTGAGGGTTTCCTTATCAGTGGAAGTCAGGCGAAGACTCAACATGCATAAAATTCATTAAGTATTCAAAGAAGAAGCAAGCAAAAGCAAGACGAAAATTAAATCAGGATTCTGGGACAAGGTTTGCTAGCTAGGAATTTTGGAACTTTTAAAAAAAAACACTGAATTTCTGACATAGGGTAATCTACGTTACATTTTAGCAGAGAAAAGGGTGGAACTGACACACTACAAAGAAATTTTTTAGTTAAAAAATTTTTTTGATCTTGAATTTTACACTGTTTTTGGTCTTTAAGTGCTTAAATAATGTTGAATTATAATTAGCCATACAAATGAACGGGGCTTTTTTCTAGCTCATTTCAAATCAGCCTAATAAGGTATACACCTTTCTATATAGCCTCTCCTGGTTTTCCACATTCCCATTCCCAGAGTAGTCTACCTTAGTTTGCACTCGAAGGTAACCCCTGAAGCTACATGACAGAAACAGGCTGCAAAGGTGGACAAGGGGAAGCATGTCCCTCTTGCCTTGATAAATCAGTGCCACACACAGAACCCACATTTTCTGAAGCATTATCTTCATTATAGAGCCGTTTGATCCCATCGTAGAAGTCGTCCACTTCCATTTCCTCTACTTTGCGTTTAGCAGAGGTATGCTTGCACCCATTGGCAGCTGGGAGATGATGGCAGAAGGCTGCTGTACCTCTGACTGGCACTTCTGGTTTGCTGTTGTCCTTGGAGAAATCTGGGCCTGGGGCAGAGGAGGGATGTAATCTGAACACTCCTTTGTCACAGGTCACCAGGGTGTGCTTGAGGGGACGGTAGACATAAACGGAATTTAGAGGCAGGGAAGACTGCAGAGTAGAAAGGTGATGTGCCACAAGCTCCCGACAGTGGATCAACTGGGAGCTATCCATCTGGGCCGGGGGGGAAGAAACCACAAAGTTGATCATTAATGTAGGCCTCTATGTCATCCCTGCTGGCCACTTTTTCTCCCTGTGCCCTCTGTCCCCCAAACTTTTTCTCTCCCCACATCTTTCATTGCATACTCATCTATTCCTCCAGCCTACCCATCATCTTAGAAACTGTGTCCAAATCTGTATTTCAAATATAAATCTCTTTGGAACTTGAATTCTGTATTTGTAATTGTATGCTGCACATCTTCATGAGAGTGGAAATTATTCTTTTGTTCACAGCTATATATCCAACATCTGTTTTTGTTCAATCTAGAAGGCCTTCCACCCCACCCTTTGCCTCTTCCAGTCTCTTTAGTGAAGACCAAGGTACAGATAAACATAAAATCTGTTAAGAATTTAAAGAAGCCACCAGAGACAAGAAAAAGTTTAAATAAAGGATGGGGAAGGCTGTCTGGTTAAGAATTCAGAACAATTTAAGTATTTTGTTTTTAAAACAGTAAATGAGAACATTTGACAAGTTATATATTTGTAGAAAACAGCAGGCTTGACAGCACAAGGAAAAATGTTTGTTTAATTTGGGAGTTTCACTAATTCCTTCTTAACCTTCAGGGTAATTCAGGTATCAGTCCTTTCTGAAGCTACCCATGACTACCCCCACCCCCAAACTCCCTAGAAACCTAAATTCTAGGGTCATCTATTTTTGTATCAACCTGTCATCATACTGACCACACTGTATTAGAATAATCTATTTAACCATTTATGCCTTTCCACTATAGACTGCAAGACCCCAAGAGGTAGGCATTGTATCATAATCCTTTTTATTCCCTCAGTTCTAGCACCAACCACTGTACATGGAAGGCCTTCAAAATCTTACCTGTGGTAAACAGTCTAATTAGTTTCTCTCTGCCTTACCTTCCCTGCAATTATAGCTCTCAAACTTCCTTTACCAACATGTATTTCTCCCTATTTAAATTTCTTTAGTGGCACCCAAAGTGCCTACCAGAAATAAGTAACCTATTTAGCTTGGTATTAAGAAGGCTCTCCACAATTTGACCCAACTTTCTTCTCCAGCCTGATTTCCTAGCATATCCCAATTTGTGCTCTACATTCCTGCCAAACAGGCCTGCTCTCTACTCTGCACAAATCTTGCCTTTCTTACTTTACCCTTGCGCATCCTGTTTCTACCTGTTGAAATTGTATTACCTGTTCCTTCCAGGTCTGGGTAACTGCCACCACCTCCAGGAAGCCTATCTTGCCTATTTAACTATCAGGGATCACTTTCCAGTCTTATGTATTCTATAGGTATTTTGGGACATTTCTTAACCAATTCTAATTTATGCCTACAAAACCTAGCACACAGCATGACTGTCTGCAATACCACAGAGAAAATGAAGGAAAATAACATGCTCTGCAAGAACATATATGGTGAAAAAACTATTTTATCTCTAAATATACTCAGTACTTGTTACCCAGGAAAGTATCAGTGGAAAAGGATGAAAGGCTAGTGTTAGTTATCATATAGTCCAAATATGAAAATGTCTGAAACTGGCAGAAACTATACATGAAAATGACCATTTCTAGTATCTTCTATCTTGTTCACTGATTTTTTCCCCTAGTTTGAAAGGCACTAGGTAACACTCTATGGGTAAGATACTATTAATCAGTGTGTATGTATACACACACACACACACACACATATATAATTCTTTTCTTCTCTTAAAGAAAAGAAGAATTACATAATACTTAAGATGGCCCCCAACTATTAAGCTTCCGACTGTAGGCTAGTGCTTATCATGTCCCAGAGATGTGGAACAAGCTAAGTCATGCTAAACACAGTGGAACAGAGCACCCTGGAGAGAGAAGGGTCCTCAAAGTTCTTTAAGGCAACTGGTACCCTAGTCAAGTATTGGGGCTTCTTCAAAAAGCCAACAAAAGAAGGGTAACAGAAATGAAAGACAGAAATTGGGAAGTGAAAAGAAGGCTACAATGTAAAAACTATTTCTAAAAAGTAAGTAAGTACCTAATTTAATGAACTGTTCTTTAACAAATGAATGATACTCAGTGGCCTAGCAAAGTAAAAGTACCACAAATACTCTAACGTCTTGGTCACTGGGCACAGTACTGTAGCAGAGTCCTGAAAAAAGACATGTATTGCAAGTGAAAGGAAGACTATTTACGTCAATATAATCTTTCTCTGTGAAGGTAATAAGTAAATAGGGAGTTATATTTTAGAGGTGAAAACCGGCAGAAAATGGGGCTAGAAAGACATCAGAGATTATTCAAACCAATACCATCTAATGAACTCTACTTCCACCCAAGTTAAGCTCTTTGTCCAAAACAATGCATCAAATAAATTCTTTCTAATCTACTACAACCTAAATTTGTTCTTAAAAAAACAAAACATGGCCCTCATTGAGATCCAGTGGAGGAAACAAAATAAGCCAAGTATACTAGGATCACTACAACTTTAGACACCAGACAAATCCTCTAATGAAACAATTATAAAAAGATTTAAAATGAACTTGATCTAATTGCAGAGTGTTGAGAACATTTATTGTTATTTTTCATGACTATCTCCCCAAATTCAAATATAGTAATCATTTTAAAGTATCCCTTGCTAGAAAAACAAAAACAAGTATAATTTAGCTTACCAAGGAGTTAAGGTAAATAATACGGAAAGTTTACAAAGCAGACATCCAAATAGGTTACTGATGGGAAAGGGGATCAGAATAGCACGATGTAATTGGTTCAGATGGACCCACCAGGTTCAATGGACAGCATAAAGCATTGAAAATACCTAGTGCAGTAAGTAGACTGACTTTAGGCACCTTCAAGAACTAGAAGACCCCAGAGGGGAGGGCCTGCTTCTTTAACTCTGTACTCTGATGTTAAACTACATCACAGCAGGAAATACCTACTTTGACTAGTGCCTGGCTAGGACTAGGAAGACCATCACACTAATCCAGGTAGAGTTAACATCCAGAGATAATCGAGTGGGCCACATCACTCAGAAAAGAACATGAGTATAGCCATAGAAGAAAAAGAGGGTTAGCCATCCTAACATGGTGACCAATGGGCAGCACAAGAGATGCGGGTGTTGGGGAGGGAAGCAATGGGGGAGTGGGACTAGGAGGGACAGAGGAAGCTTGCCTTTCAAACCAGGGAACACTCACTTACTCTGAAGTTCAGAGGGAACATAAAGCTGGTGGTAGCTGTCTATGATGGATCATTAGCTGTACCCTCAAACCAGGACCCTAGGAAACAGGTCAGGAGTAATTCTGGCATGATCTCACCAATCTGATGCAAGAATTTCCTATGCTAGAAACAGAAATCCAGGAGAAATAGCTGGTATTACTATCGCCTTGTCACAGGTGTAATTACAAAGATATTAGACCTGGTGTTCCTACCTAAACTCAGGTGAACTTAGCAAGACAACTGAGTTTTGAAGAATCAGGAGCCACACAGATTTGGGCCATAGGGTTTCAGAGAATTGCTATTACCAAGTTACAAACTGTCTAAAGTTTTGACCTTACTTGTTTTTAACTATCTTCCTCATTATAACCTGACTACTAACTTCATGGAGAGACTTTTTTTTTTTTAAAGAATCACTGTACCTCCAGTGCCTAGATAAAAGATTTCTCAATAAATGTTTGTGGAATAGAACTATATACATATACAAGAGAATAGAACAGTGGTTTTCAAACTATGTCCAAACAGCTTATGAAAGGGAAGGAGCCATGCTGAGTAGGACTGCATCTGATAGGCCTCTGCCCCAAACAAACTGACTGCAAAGTAATACTTTACTACTTAGTATTCTGGGATTGTGTACGTACAAGACTTTTGAGGGGACAAGGGAAGGGTTCCAGTTCTAAAGGAACCTCTGAAAACCACTGGGCTAGAATCTTTAAGGTTTGTGTCATATGGAAAAAGCACTGGGTTTTTTTTTTTTTTAAGTCTTCTTTACTATTAAGTTCTGTGTGTCTCTGAGAAAAGTCCCAAGTTTCCTGGACTGAAACTATAAAATAAAGGAGATGAATAATGTGATTTTTAAGATTCCTTCAAATTCCAAGTTTATAATACTCCTTCAGTAAAGGGAGAAACAAGTTTCAGTGAACATTTTCCTCTAGCACGAGAAGACTTATGAAGGAGAATAAGCAGATTCTCCAGTGTCAAAGCTGCAGAATATAATGCTATTTACAAAATTCTTATTATTTATGCATCAAAGTCTGTCCTTTCTCTGTGATAGCAACCTTTCATATAGCAAATTTTCTCTGTAGTAGCTTGGAAATAGGCACAGACGCCAAGTCAGGGAGGCATTTAGAGATATGTCATTTGTTCCAATAAAAAATGAGAAATATAGGAGGCAGAGGTTGTATTAATGCCCCTTCCCTCATTTCCGAGGTCTAATGTAAATGATTAATATTCAACTTCATCTTCCAACATTCTAGGCAGGCAAAGAAAATTTTCTGTGCCACGCTTATGTGGTGCTTTATGTTAGCTTCTAAAAATTCTCACTAAGTAGAAACTATCTCTCTCCTAGGACTTACTTTCATTATAGTATTTATTTCAATGGAAAGAAACACTTCTTAATTATTTTAATCTAAGATATGCTATTAAAAGAACGTATCTCCCTTGTAGAGGAGAATCAGCCTGTATTAACCAACATCATGTGTCCCAGGGATGCAGACAAGCTAAGCCATGTTAAGAACAGTGGAGCAAAACACCTATGAGGGATGGGGCTCTAGTTGATATACTGCTCTGACCATCATCATCATTCTTTTATGAAAAGCCTCTCAGTCCCTCTCTGCTCACAAAGCAAGGCCTGAAATTTTCAGAGCTGAGGTTGCACTGAGGTATATCTTTAATATCTGCTAACTTTTATAGCTCACATCTATAAGATCATCAATTATAACTATCTTACAAAACACTAAATTCAAGTATTATTCTCCTGTTTTTCTTTTAAGTTTTACTAGCTCAACAACTCTAGCTCTTAGCCAAAATTAGTTCTTTTTATGTTACAAAATGTTTTTCAGCTCAGAATTTAAGTCTCTTAATAACATTCAATAAAAGAAACTGAGTAACTGCCAAATGAGAATAAGTAGGGACCTATAAAGGAAAAAGTATGTTCATAAGTCTTTTATGGACTCAGTTGGCAGGGAAGGTATGGTTTGCAGCAGACCTAAACTTCTAAGTTCTATTTGGTGACATGAATAGAACCAATGAGGATTCTCTCAAAGTAGTGCTAACATAGAGCACCATTACTAACTTCTCATATGAATGAGAATTTTCTCCACTAAATGCTTAAATTTTATACAGATGGTTGATAAAAATTTAACTGACCTATAAGACTTTATATCAATTTGCAGATATAAGTTATGAACCAATCTTATGCAAGAATGGAAACCACCAGGACTTCAGAAAGTCCTGAAACTTCAGAAAAAGTTTCTATATGCTAAATACTTCTCTCTCTAGCCAACAATAAAATATTTGTTTGTCTAAAAAGCAACTTCTTGCAATTTATGTTTTTGATGTATCTTTTACAAAATGAATAAAGTGTAGAAGTACTATAGTGAAATCTAAAAATACAGCTAGGAAGGTTCTTCATACAAAATGAATGGAGAATATATTATCCAGAATCTTATTAATTTTTCAAGACTAAGATTTTTAAGTAATCTAGAAGAGGTGAAAAGAATGAAGAGTATTTTCTTAGACAGTATTTTATCTAAGCTTTTAAAAGAAAAAAAGGCATTTATCCCATAAATTTGAAGTGTATATTATACTCTTATCTACTCTTACAAATGGGCTGCCATTAAAAGATTAAAATGTCTCTTACTTTTATAACCATCTGTTTATCCTATGTATCCCAGTAAGATAAAAAACTAGAAATGAACACTATTTAATTAGACTGACACCTACCTGTGCTTTCTGAAGCAGTTCAATTGTAAGAGGAAGCCAATCAGGAATGAGTTTCTCCATTTCCAAACTAATCATGGCCAGAGCAAGCATGGATCCTTTGAATTGTAGAAGTTGGTTGCAGGCCATACAGTGAAGTAGTTGCTTGGTAAGGACAGCCAAATGTTGAGATGGGCTCAGTTTGGGCAGACTAAAAAGTAACTGGGGCCTAGTTGACACTGCAATGGCATGGAACTAAAAAAATTAAAAATTAAAAAATTTTAAAAATCACAACAGCATCATTCTAGTTTTACTTCAATGTCTAGGTAAGCTATGTACAGAAACTGATGTAACCTCCTAAAGTACTACTCAATTACTATTTGCAATTTTTGCTTCAGTGATTTGACATATATCCTAGTTTCTAATTTTTCCTTGGCTAAGCACAATAATTTTCTTTTCCTTAAAAATCAGAACACATGAGTGGGCAATCTACTTTTCAAGTTACTGAAATAGGACTATATATTCAAATAGGAAATTAAAAGACTTCAGGTATATTTACAATGTGAAGAAAATCCAATGGTGTGGCTGTATGAAGATCCCAATTCAACTTATCCAGAATAATTCTCTCCATCCTCAGAATTTCAGATGAAGAACATCCACAGAAACTATCTCTTGCCAATACCTTCAGTCCTGGAATTCTCTATCCAAAGAAAAGGGGAATAAGGCAGGGAGAATAGGATAGAAAAAAATAAACTCATTTTTTTCAGTTTTTGTTTTGGTAAACAGAAAGCAAGTTAATAAATGGACAAAAATTTCAAAAGAGACACGACTAATCTTTAATGCAAAATATTTACCTCGTCCTCCTCAACAGTCTTGGCAGCTAGGAAAAAACAGCTGATTGCAATACAACTCAAGTATTTTGGGTGGGCCTAAAATGGGGAAGAGGGAAAAAGCAACTTCAGTGATTCTTCAAAAAGATAAGAGAGTTTATTTTTTTAAAACTAGATATGCAAATGAGAGAAGTATGCACACAATTGTATGGAATTCAATTAATCTGATTCCTACTCACTGCTTTCTAAGATCAAAGCCAACGTTTAACTTCACAACCCCAGCCATATTATACTCTATGCAAACTAAGAACATTTCATTGCTGGAAGTTCAACAGCAGAGGAGCTTGATTTTAGAAGAACTCTTTAATTTAATAAAATTCCCCAAATTAAAAATGTATTTATATGTGTTATTTTTTAAGCTAGTTTTATTCTCTTTATCTGCCATATCAGTACAATTAACAAATGGCATTAGAGGAATTAAAGAGAAAGACAGGACTATAACAAGAGGGCTATTAATATATTCCAAATGCTTTAAAAAATTACAGGATGCTAGCAGATGAAATATTCTAATTAACTGTTTACCCAAAAAATTATATATTCAAGTTCCATGACAAGAATGAAAGGCTCCTAAATACACCTAGAATCAATTTATGGGTGAAAAAACCTTCCTTGGGCTTGACACTCATGTGGGACTTTAATTCGCCTATTTTCCTTATCTATAATAAAGTAGGTCCACTTTCTACCTTATTGGTAGAATGAGGGTTTGGAACCTAGAATCAGAATACAGTTTTAAATAATTAAAACAGTTCAGTCCAATTATATTGAATGATACAGAGGTAACACTGTTTCAACATTTATTTTATATTTAAATATTGTATTTCTGTGAAATTGGGGAAGTCTTCTGATGACCAGAGTACGGCCTTGATTAATTATTTAATAAACATGCCAACCAATAACGACTGCCTTAGTATAACTGGCATGCTATCTAGGAATCTTTCAATCGCCTGCCTGTATGAGAAATAAAAGCTAGTTCAATACTATCAATATTTTAAAATAATCATTAATATTAATCAGAATATTATGGTTTAGAAAGCACTCCCATAAGTACCACGTGTTATATCTTCTTTTATAGGTGAGAAAACAGAAGTGAAGTCAGATGCTGTTGTTAAGGCAGTTTTCCAGACTCCTTATTTCCCTGTGTATACAACATATCAAAACCATATCCCTGAGGTAATCAGAGTCCATTACAAAGAAAGAAGTCCAACAGTTAACAACTTTGGGTAGGCAATACAGCTCCTAAATCAAGGACACCAATACTAAATTTAGTGCTAATAAGACTTCCAACAGCAAATATGTCTGTGTTTTAAACAAACAGTAGTTCTCAATCCCATATGTACATCAGAATCATCTATGTAGTTTTTGTTTCTTTAAATACAGATATCCAGATCTCACCTGGATTCAGATCCAGGAGGTCTGGGATAGGGCTCAGGGTCTACACTTTTAAAGAATTTCATAGCACCTTCTTCCGCACAGCTGGGATTGAGGCTCCACTCACTGTGCAGCACTTCTGTGGTCTGCTTTAAGCACATTTAAACTATGAATACATTTTAGATGAATTGTTTCAATGTAGATTAACCATCTCTAAGTAAGAGTATCTGATGCTAGTAACTAATAGAAGGCCCATTAAGTAAGAAATACGGAAAAAAATGAGATTTCACTCGGCAAAATTCTCTAATTGTTCCAGAAACTTCCACAAATCTGTTTAAAATGCTTAATAATGCCAGTAAAAATCTTTTCTATGATAAAAGCTACAAGTCCATCAAAAATTTTAAAGAATATAAAACCCAAGAAAAGACACTAACCTTAAATGCATCTTCTGTGAAAGGGAGTCTAGGTATAGTAGGGGAATGGGGAGAAGGGAGGGAGGACTTGATGCAGAGATAAATATAGGCATCTCAGATAACCCAGACTTCAGGCAATTAGTATCATTATAAAATTAGTATCATTATAATTAAAGTTTCAAGTCTCTCAAGAGTAGAAGTTTGAAACAAAAAGATAACTGAGTGGCCAGCCAAAGTCTTCCACTCCATAATTCTATGGCTTCTATTTTTTTAGACCTAATAACAAAGAATACAGTACACTCAGCACTGAACTCATAGTTCCTGCAGCTTACATATTCCTAGGCATACAAATGACAACTGAATTGCTTTTCTACCTTTTCATGCCTTGTCATTAAATAAATGCTGACTTCCTGCTTTAAATCTGTTGAAGGCCTACTATGACAGATTTTGCATAATGTAACCAATGATATATACCAACAGGGACAACATAAAATTTATTCATAATGCTGCCATTTAACAAAAATATACCAGTTATTTATAACAGTTCAATTCATCCTGTGCTTCAAATGTATGCCTCTAGAAAGAATTTATATATTAAGAAAGCCACACAAAAGGGATTCAAAAAATAAGTAGTGACAGAGAAAAATATGCAATAGGCTTATACTTTTCTAATCTGATTCACTATTCACAACTAGTATCCAATGTGTTAAAAAGATGACAACTCTTTCATTTAAAAAAAAAAAACTGAACATTCTGCCAGTGCTACAGGGTTTGTATTAAAATCAAGATCAAAAATTTCATAGGTTAAGTTATGAATACTTGTAGCCAAAAGAAAATTACAGAATATAATTAGATACATTTCAAAAACTTAAAGCAGAAGCAGAAGACATGTCTTCTTATAAGTATATACACATATATTTAAGTATAGATATATTATAAGTATATATACACTTATAAGTATATCATCTCCAGGAAGGTTTTCCACTCCCTTCCACCTTGTAGAATGTTTTACTAATAGCCTCTGGTGTAGCATATAAGTCCTCAAACAAGAAGTTGTATGTAACTGTATTCTACAATATTTACCTTTACAGTAGCTAAGAACCTGTCCAAAAGACTACTAGCCAGTGCAAATGTTTCTGGGTAAAGATTGAATTGGTACTTGAGTTTGGCCAGCCACTGAATCACTTCATCTCTCTGGGATGGAGAAACATTCTATAAGGAAACAAAAAACAAAAATAAAAGAGAACAAGTAAACAAGGATATGAGAGAACAAATATCATCAAGGATATGTTTCCAATTCTTGCTTATAAAAGGTTAGCAAATGCTATGGAATATGTATTTATATGTTAAAAAATGTTTTTAAGTTTACTCAAAATCTATCAAACTTAAGATAAATGAAGATAAAATTTTATGAACTAGTTACAGCATTTAATATCAACATCCAATATGTCATCTCACCATGTATCTATACTTTATTTAAACTGGGGTTTTCAGGGAATATATATATACACACACACACACACACACACACACACACATTTATTTGTTTATTTAGGTGGAGGTAGGGGGAGTAAATCAGGTTTATTTATTAATTCTTAGAGGAGGTACTGGGGACTGGACCCAGGACCTCATGCATCCTAAGCATGTGCTCTACCACTTGAGCTATACCCTCCCCCTTTAAAGTTTAGCTAACACTATTATCAACTATAGTAATTTTGGAATTAGGTTTCCCCAATTCTTGAGAACAAGAAAATACAGTGAACTTTTTTCTAAGGCAGCAAACAGCCATTAAACTATCTTTAGAAATACAAACAGGCTATGGTAACAAAATGCTAACCTATTAAAAACAAAGCTAAAGTCAACAGGAATGAATGAAACATACCAGGGAAAATGGACAAATTACATATTTAAAAATGATTAAAGAATATTGAAGGGGAAATTAACCTGAACTAACTTACCACTGGAGAGATTACTACACAAACACTGAACATTATTGGTGTTTTAATCTTCCTATATATTATTTTTAACTACTGAGTATAGGCTTAATTTTCAAAAGATACACACTTTAAAGCAATAATGAATGATTTAGATACCTTTACTCCTGAGTTTTGCAGGTACCATAAAAAAAAAACCTAGTAATATTTAATCTACCACTAATATACAAAACAGATCCATGTAAGTACTCTTCTGCCAGGTAAAGACAACAAGTACAGAAATGACTCTATGATTAGTGGAAAAGACTATTTTCAATATGAGGGTTCCAGACAAGTAAAGGTTTAATCTATGTACTGCAGACTTTATCATCATAACCATTTTTGATGGAAATCTCTTAAAAATATATATTACTTATCTCATTTCTCAGGAAGTATAGAGATCACAGCTTAAACCTCTTCCCTGATCACTCAGGGTCAACTTTATGAAATTAATTTCTATATCACAGAGAGATGCAGTAAGAACTATTAAATCATGAAGGGTTGTACGTCTTTGGCAATACATTGCCTCAAACAGGTATTTCACTTGGAATTTCTTCTCTCCTTCCTCTTGGCTTCCTTTAGTGTTGTGAGAAATACACGACTTGGTGCTCATTATTACCTCTGCCATTGCATTGGCTAGTTTCCCTTATTTTATTCCAGCTTCTCTTTCTTTCAATTTTCAGCTTTGGCACAGGAAAGTAAAGTGTTTCTCTATGTTGGTCAAATCAACTAATCACACATCTAATTTTTACATTTAACTCTAAACTCAGTTATAACTGGTATTTTAGAAGGTTAAGTGCCATATATTCACCTGCTGGTGAATTCCTTTCGTGAAAAGGAAAAAAAAAAAAAGATTGACCCTAGAATACCGCATAAGAAATACTGACAAGAAAATTAGATAAAGATGGTTTATAACCTCTTATATTTACATATTACCACCAAGCTGGTGTTAAGACTATGAACAGTAATGTGAAAACATCTGACAATCAAGACATTAAATTCAATTCATATTAATAAATATTAAGTGTTGAACATATGATAGGTCATGGGAATGCAATGATGAATGAAACACTCTCTGTTTAAACTTCAAAACTTAAAAGTCTCATGGTGAGGCAAACAATAAGAAAATGTCAATAAAATATGGTAAGCATTAAAATAGAGTTATGCACAGGGCACTAGGGGAGCACACAGGAAGGGTACCTGGCCCAGTGTGGGAGGGGAGTAAAATGTTCTTAGAGGAGACAGCAACTAACTTGTATCTTAAGAGTTAAAAAGTGAGGGAAGGGGGTGATCATTTGTAAGACAAGGAAAAGAAACAAGTATTTAAAGCCTGTGAACTTTACTCTGAAGGATAAGAATGATGTCAACCTGGAGGCAGTAACTTGTTGTTAAGCTCCTCAGACTTGCAAATAAAAATTGAAGTGGATGGAAAAGACTGCTAGAAACAGATGCTCTGGAGAATCAGTGATACAATTCAATGAATCAAAAAGAAACAAAATAGTTCATGGGACTGAAGCTAAGGGCTCGACAAGTTTTGAGTATATAGATTAGGAGCAGAATTTATGTCTTGCAGAGACTATTAACCAACTTGACAGAGGAAACTAGTGTTAAGCTATTAAAGCCAGGAGTTAAGATTCTCTCTTTCACAAAAGCAGTCTGCAAAAGCGGGCAAAATACTACCTCAAGTTATGGCTTCTCCAGAGGTGAGAGGAAGCAGAAACAGCCCTATAGCTAGACCCTGGGTCAAAAAGCTCTTAACATGGTCACTGGTTCTACAGTATTCTATTTTCCACAGAGCCCTGAGGTGCTCTTTAAGAGCTGGACTAGGGGCCACTAAAGGTCCCTGGGGACCAAAAGTGAAGGCAGTCACAAAACTTTTAGATTGAAGTTAAGCACTCAAGAGAAACTAAATTTCTACTAAGATGAGCTTCTATCTAAAAATGCCAAAACAAATTTAAAAAGTAATGTTAAGGTAGCCATCCAAACAATTCAATGACAAGGAAATAAAATTCACACAGAGAGAGGCAGACAGTGATACCACCTGAGGAAACTGGGGAGGCTTTTAGGGAGGAGAAAGAACAATGATCTAGAACAGCAATGAGGAATAAGAACACCGTTTATTCTACCTTCAGGTCAGAGATATAGGAGAAAAAAATACCCTTAGATGACAGATTACATAAAGTGACTATTTGGTGTTTGACATTAAACAAATAGCCAACATGTAACTGTAAGAAGTCCCACAAAAGATGGACATAATGTGCTGCAAGTATAGGTATAACACAAGGGAACAGTTATACAGAGATTTCCATAGCATAGTTATAACTAAATGACATAACTTACGTAAAGCACACAGAACGTGAAAGCACTTAAATATTAGTTTTGTCCTTTCTCACCTTTAAATATACTTGATGCTTTAAGATGCCAGAAAAAACAAATTTACAAAATATTACATATAAATAATTCTTTTAAACCGATTACAATACAATTAGATATGAAAGAGATCGTGACAGTATCTTTGACTTTAACATACCTCATATTAAAAAATTTGAGAACAGGGCCAAGAAAACATTCTTGCATGGCTAGTACTATCATCACTAGCCAAAACTAACAATAACCAAAAAACCTCACAGAAAATTAGTTTGACTCACTCTTAAGTGATACTGATTCTAAGATCTCTTTTTTCAAGTCAGTTAAAACATGTACTCAACAGTGATATCATCAGAATAGCTTTAAAAAATAAAGCTCCATGCCTAAGTAATCCCATTTGAGGGAGGGAAGGAGGGAGGAAAGCGGGCAGGCAGTACCCCAGATAGTATTTCCTGATCAAGGGATCTGTTTTCTCTTATGTGGACTGCTCAAACAGCATTAAAAGAGTTCAGTAAATTGGTTGAATGACTAATCCCAAAGAGAATTTATAATGGTTTGATTCAACATGGCAAAACACAGGGCTTTATATTCCACATGCTGCTATTCTAATCATTAAACACAAATCCTCCCCAGCTTTAAACTCTGTAAGGTTTACCATTACCTAAATATTAAGCATAATCCCTCAGGCATGGCATACAAATCCCTCTATGACCTGCCTCTCCAGCCTCACTCACCTTCCATCACTTCCTGCTTAAAATTCATACTATAAGAGGGAATACTTGTATTTATGGCTTTTCCTTGTTCCTGCCATGCTATTTCACATCACTGCTACTTTGCTAATACTGTTCCCTCTGGTTGGAACACACTCCTCTCTCTTTTACCTCTTATTTACCCTTTAAGAGCTATTTCAATGGTCACTCCCCACTAGACACTTTTCCTGATAATTCAAGTTGGGCTAATTACCTTCCTGTGCTCCCACAGCATCTCTTGTCACTCTTCAAAAAATTACCTTTCTGCTTTTGGCTATGACTGAGTAGGTAGCAGCAAACCTACACTCTAGCTGAGAACAACTAGAAAAGCTATTAACAACAGAAAGGTATCAGAACTTCTAAGACAACTGGGCCTTGAGGAGCCAAAATTCCAGACAGCAGGTAGTAATAGTAAGAGATGAGTCAACATTCTGCATTAACTATCCTTTTCGGGCATTTGCCCATCCTGTGAGTATGGCAAGAGGCAGAAAGTATGAGCAAAGAAACCAACAGAGCTTTTGGGAGTCTTACAAGGCAAGAGACAAAATTTGGAAACTTGAGGAACAAAGAACCTAGTAGAAGAGGGTCCGAGACGTGAATGTGACAGCTGATTTTCCCCTTATTTTCTAAATCAGATTCTGAAGTTAGGAAGGACAAAGCTCTGAGAGGCTAAGCAGAAAGCCTCTGAAAAGCAAGAGTCAGTTCAGGGGAGAGTTTAGCACTCTTCAAGAAAAAGGAGGACTGCTAAACAGTCACCATGAACATAGACACAAAAATCCTAACCAAAATGTTCACAAAATCCAATTACATACAAATATTCACCACCTATTCATGAAAAATCTCTTAGCAAACTAAGACAGAAGAAAGGAGTTTCTTAGTCTGGTTATGACTAAGACATACATAGCAAACATCACAGTCAATGGTGAAAGACTGAAAGATTTCTCCTCACAGAGATTCCAGCAGGGTTCTGGACCCTAGCTAATTCTGCAAACAAGAAAAATGAAAGTGTAAGAACTAAAAGAACGAAATGAAACCATTATTATTCACATTTGACATGACTGTATATAATATACAGAAAATCTTCCAAAAGACTAAACTATTAGTAAGTTAATTTAGTATGGTCTATATAAAAATCTACTTTACTTCTATAGACCAACATACAGAAGGCAAGTATATAAAAAAATTAAATTAAAATGTTACCATTTGTGATAGCCTCAATAAGACTCAAATACCACCCAGAAATAAACCTTAATTACCAAATACTATTAAAAGAAACTGAAGACCACCTTTAAAGAAAAATGGAGAAATAGTCATGTTCATGGATTGGAAGACTCATAAATATGTCGATTCTCCCCCCAAATCAATCTATACATTCAATTAACCAAAACCCCCATAATTTTTTTTTGAGCATTGACAAGTATATCTAAAAATACATATGCAAGAGCAAAGAGCTAAGAATAGCCAAGACAATCTTAAAAAAAAAAAAAAGAACAAAGTTTATGACACCAAAGAGTTACTACAACGCTATAATAACTGAGGCAGTGAGGTATACAGAGAGGCAAACAGACCAATGATGAGAAAAGAGGCAAGAAACTGACCCACAAATTATACAGCAGTCACTTAATTTAAAACAAAAGTACATCACAGGGCAGTAGCAGAAAATGTCTTTTTATTTTAATAAATGGTACTGGTTTCCTATATAGAGAAAAATTATTCTTGACTCCTACAATTCATACCATACCAAAATGGAAAAAAATCCTATCTTCATTACCCTGGTTTAGGCAAACATTTCTTTAAAGGATTAAGCAAAAAGGAAAAGAATTTTGATAATTAGATCATTAAAAATTAAGAACTTCTATTCATCAAAAGTCAACAAGCAAACAGAGCTGAAAATATGTAACACAGAGCCTGAAAAAGAAAGAACTCCTAAGGAAACAACTTAGCAACTCAATAGAAACCCAGGTGAAAGATTTTAACAGATATGTCACCAAAAGAGAATATCTAATAGCCAATAAGCACATGACAAACTGTTGAATTTCATTAGTTATCAAGGAAATGCAAATTAAAACCCAATGTGTTGTGATACTGTAACACACTCACCAGAGTAACTAAAATGAAAAAGACAGACAATACCAAGGGCTGACGAGGATGTACAGCAACTTGAGACTTTCATACTCTGCTGTAAGGGGTTAAAAAAAAATGTGCTATAAAAGTGGAATAACAACTTTGGTAAGTAATACAATTGGTGTTATCTGCTAAACCTGAGTATAAACATAGTCTAGGTTCTAGCAATTCCACCTCTAGGAACATACGCAACAGAAATGTACACATATGTCACCAAAGACATACACAAGAAAATGACTAATGACCATCAACAGCAGAACGGATAAATAAAGTCCTTTGATGGAATATTATGTGGCAATGAGAATAAATTAATTATGACTACATGACATAATACGGATGAATCTTACACTAAAAAAAAAAAGAAAAGAAAAGGCTGAGCAAAAGAGGCCAGTACATACTTTACACACACACACACACACACACACACAAAATTCAAAACCAGGAAAAACTAATCTGTGATATTAGGATAATGGTTTCTTTGTGGGGAGGAGATAGATGGTAGTAACTCTAAGAGGACACAAGAAAGGCTTCTGAAGGTGTTGGTAATGTGGTGGTTACACAAGTGTTATTTTGTGAAAATTTATGGTTGTACACTTATGAACAGCATACACTTTAAGAAACCGTTTACTTATGGAAAAGAAAAAAACAAACGGGGGGGAGGAATAGATTTATTTATTTATTTATCAAATCCACAGATGGTATAAAAATGACAGGAAGTCAATATATATATCTAATATAGATAACAATCATGATATTAAAGCTAGAAAAATGGGCCAGTGTCAACAATTCTAAACTTAGTAAGGATAAATATGAAACAGTGCACCTAAGTTAAAAATTTTTTAAGTACATCTAGGATAAGGGAAACTCCTGCTTAAAAGTAGAGAGACAAAACAACAAGGTTTTAAAAGCAAGTTTAGTATAAGCCAACAACATGACATTGCTGCCAAAACAAAAATTTTTTTAAATTTAGGGCTACATTAATGAAATTATCAAGCCAAGATAAAGTGGGGTAATAGTCTTACTTTATTGCTCATTAATTACCACAACTCAAATATCACAATTTAAGAAACAGTTTTAAAAAAAGAGTGTATATAGAGAAAGAAAAACTGGGATGGTAAAAGGGGAAATCCTGTCAAATGAAAAATGGTTGAAGAATAAGAGATACTCAATCAGGAGAAGAGATGACTTTGTGGGCTTAACACCTGTCTTTAAGTAGGTAAAGGACTGTCATTTAAAATATGAAATGAATTTATTCTGTACTGCTCCAGTGGACAGAACTAGAACCACTAAGTGGCCACTAGAAAGAAGCAGTTTTCAGGTTCAATTTAGGACAAATTTCTCAGTAATTCACAGAGCCTTTCCACAGTGGAACGGACAAAGTATCCAAAGCAGAGGGTCACTTATCAGAGATGTTAGGAGAACTTCTTTTTTTTAACTGTGTGGTTAGACTAAATCATTGCTTCCCAAACCAAACACTTATTAATAAAACTACAAAGCTTTTTAAAATACGAATTTCCAAATTTGCCACAAGCCCAGTAGGTCTGGGTGGGGCCTGGAATCTGTAAGACACCTCCTGAGTGATTCTGATACATTTAGTAGCCCAGAGGTTCAAGATCCTGTATTTGCATATCACATAATCAAATGGCCTTTAAAGTTCCTTAGTTTCAAAATTGTAATGAAAATCATCTCTATATAAACAGTTTTATCTTTGTATATCAAAATAAATTGAGAATACCTGAAAGTACATGTCACTTTAACCATTCTTCAATTTTTCCCCCAAATTCGTAACAAAATCACCATGTACTCGGAAGTACTATTATTACATAAAAGAACTCTAACCTGGACGAGTTACAAAGAAATAACAATCAACGCTCATTTAACAAGTGTTTACTGTGAGCCTATTATTACATGCCAGGAAACAAAAGTGACAGAACTCTACCCCAACAGAATTCAGTCAAACCACCAAGAAATTATAATATTGTGTGCTATCATATGGGAAGTACAGAGTGCTGTGGGAGAACAAAGAAGGGGAGTGATAAGTGTATAATATTCTTGACCTAAACTGCAAGATAGGAGATGCAATTTACAAGAGAACTGAGAAAGACCTTGAGATAGGATTTAGATGAAGAGAGAAACAGGAAAGAAGAAAAAACTGGAGGGAAAAAAGGTTAAAAATATTTTATTCTTCCATTTTACCAGCACAAAAAAAAAAATTAGAGAAGTTGGAAAAGACAGATATATACTTTAGAGATAAGACTATTTTTCTCTTCTGCAAAAAGGAGTCAAGGAGGGAAATCATAGTTAGAAGCAACAGCAGAAAGGGAAGTAGAAAAGCCAGTCCATAAGAGCTGCAGAAGAAAACAGAAGAATTAGAACTAGGATAAATGTGTCCTTGAAGGTTATTCTGTGTCAAGTGGCTCAAGCCCCTATAGCTCTTAACTGCCATCTCTATCTTATCTTCTATCACCAGACCAAGCCCACACACATTTTATAAGAAATAAGTATGCTTTTACTTGGCATTACCAAAGGCAAAACCTTAAATAGATCTCTCTTAGAAGTTCTGATACTCATGTGTAATACCAGAGAACAGAACAGTAATATCTATTAAAACACCCATTAAAATGAGCCAGATTCAGTGATAATAGAGCAATATGATATAATCTGGGTAGAGTATCACCTGTGAAGATCATGTTGTAAAAATCTATCATTGATGGTTTCATGCTGACAGGAGGAGATAGCAGAAGAAAAAAGAAATAGTTCTAAAGGCAACTCTAAGAAAGCTTTGGGGCTTACTAGAATGTCAGAACATGGGGCAAAAACTTCTGTTTTTCTCACTGTTATATCCCCAATGCCTAGAATAGTTCTCAGAATACAACAGATATTTAATGTTAACATTTACTGAATGACTGAATCCCCAAGTTATCTAAAAATCACACATGTATACAAAAATAAAAAATGAAAAAGCAAAGTAAAATGGGAAGAGAATGGCCCCAGGTTCAAAATTATAACACTACTACTTATTAGCTGAAGTCTGGAGCAAACTGGGACTACTGCCTACGTCAAAAGATTAAATGAGATATCAAATATGATGGCATGCAAATGCTCCTAGTAAAAAAAGGCAATCATTTAGGTTACCTAATCTTCTACTCACTAAAAGACAAATAATAGTAAATACAAAACATAATGCTTCAGCTTGTGGGAAGAATGACAGAAGTAGGCTGGAATTAGAAAAAGCATATAGATTTCAATAACCTATGAACAAAGGTTAACCAAAACTAACACAGGAGGAACTTAGATACTTTCATTTGCAGTGTCAGGCACTAAGGATAAAGAGATAAGTAAGATATCTTATACAGTAAACTATTGAAGTGAATAACTCATAGTTATTTGTGAAAAATAGCTCTGATGTAATTATATGAAATTTCTAAAAAAAGGCATATAGTCAACAGTAATTGAGAGGTCAGCTGGTTATCTCCCTAGCAGATTTCAACACTGGCAATACCTTAGTAGTTAATTTGAATTCCTTATAGACATTCATGAAAGACAGAGCAATTTTTCGCTCACTAAAGACAAGGATTTGACTAAGTCCAGGCTCTATGGTTAACTATATATAGAAATAAAGAAGGCTTACTACTGTCAGTATCGGACTATGAGGAAAAAGAAGAGTCATACTTATCTCCCTAAAGCTGTAATTTAGATAACACATAAACAAACAAGAGCAGTTCACTTTTGTTTTGTTTCAGAATGAAACAAAGAGATGTTTCTCAAATAAAAAATAGAGCATATACTTTAATGGTACACATTTCTCCAGTGCAGTCTCAAGGTACTATTACATATCAAGTAGTACACTTATTTCTAATAAAAGCCATCTATTTAGAGTAAAGAGAGAAATCATTACCTGATTTGTAGGCATTTTCGGCACATTCACCTTCCACATCTGGGCTTCCCTAGAGATTGCCTTTCCCAACAGGAAAGACAATTTCTGGTTTTCCAAAGGCCCTGGAAACTTCATGATATCCTTTGGATCTGCCTGTCACCCAGCTTGATGTAGCTACCTATAAAATCAAATATAAAACAATGCTCTACATTTAATTATAGATTAAGAATAGTATTGTACAAATATGTTGGTACATATGAAGCATTCATAAAACAAAATAAAAACGTTAGGAGGCAATACTGGATTTTATCGCTCTTTAAAATAGCATATATTAAAATGTTACAATAATCATCAGTTATCTAAAACATTCTCACTTTAAATTTGAAATTCAGTTATAAAGAGAATAAAAATATGATCAAATAATTGATAGAACCTTTGGACTCGATCAAAACATATTATTACTGTGTCAAAAAATTGTTAAGTCCCAGGCTTTTTAAGACTACAAATTCTTAGAAATAGTTGTCCCAAATATTGCTCTTAAAAATCTAACCAAATAAGGGCTAACCTCTCTCTTCATTTAAAAAGTTACATCAATTACATCAAATCCCACCGATTCCCATTTAACAAGTATGAAACAATCTCCTTAAGTATGAAACTATCTTGAATTGTGCTTACAATACAGTGTCCACTAGCTATACATACAGCTATTAAGTTAGAATTTAATAAAGTTGAAATATAATTCCTCAGTCACACTAGTCCCATTTCAAGTGCTTAACTGCCACATGTGGCTAGTGGATACTGCACTGGACAGTGCAGAAAAGGAACACTTCTATTAATGCAGTAAGTTCCACTGGACAATGTTGATCTATAAAACTCAAAGAGAAGGTAACCCATTCTTTAAAATGAGCAGCAAGTCTAAAGAGCAACAGTCTAGATCAGTGCAGGGCAACTGAGAGTCCAAGAGACGTTTCTAGGTTTAAAAAAAAAAAAGGAAACTATAGAGGTTTGACTGTGTATAGAAAATTGGATTGAGAAGCTGCTTTAGAATGTGAAAAGACTTAAATAGATTTGATGAAAGCTAAGTAACTATGGTTAAATTCAGAAAAAGAGATTTTGCAAGAAGGTAAATGTAATAACATACCATATTTACATAGCAATATAATGGAAATACTGAATAAAAATTTCAACATAAACATTGTGACAAAACTACACTGGGAGGATAGGGGGTATTGGGAGAAAGCAGAACAAGAGCCTCATATTTGCATTTCATAGAGAAAAACCATAAATATCTAAAATGGAAATATCAAAAATAGCAGTAGGTCAAATTATTTTAAAATATGATCTTAAATAACAAGAGAAACAGGTGAGAGCTAAGAGTTGTTAACCTCTGGGGAGTGAGAAAATGGTGGGAAAGCCCTGCAGCAGGAGAATACTGTTTTCCATTGCAGACCTCATATAACTATTTCCTTTTTTCAACTATGTACCTGCATTATCATGTGCTTCAGATTCCTGGGAATCTTTTTTAAAAAATTTAATGTCTAGAATTAGCATAAAAAGTTTCTAATTTCGGACAAAAATTTAAAATTTGAAAAAAAAAAACACAAACCTTTTTTTTCAATTTCCATATTTCCACATCCCTGCCACTATCCTCTTTCCTATTAATCACCCCACATACTTCACTTGCTACTCAACCTATTGCAGACTGCCTCTGGCTATCTACCAGTCGTATCTACCAATCAGGTTGTTATTACTCACAGTGCCCACAGCACAGTATCCTGATGAAACAAGGACTCAACCAAAGACTCATTTCAGCCCTTGGGGCTAAAAGCAAAAAACCATAACCAAAACAAACAAGCCCAAGTCTAATCTCTTTCACAGGCCAATCCTTCAAATGTCTGAAGGCTGCTATCATGCTCATCAGTTCATCTTTTGCATAGCTGAAAAACTGTTCAAGAGTTCCTCACATGACATGATTTTTGCTCTTCTAAATTAGCACCAGTTTAATTGTTAACACTAAGATCATTAGCTATTTTTTTTTGAAGGCTACACCACATTATCAATTCAGATAGAACTTATGCTCAATTAAAATTCTTAAGACTTTCTAAGATACACTCACAGGCAAACTTCCCTGACCTACCCCCACCCCATTGTGTGTGGGGTTTTGGTGCCCTTTTGGGGGGGAGGTTGTTGGGGGGTGGGTACATCATTGTTCAGAACCTTAAATATATACCCTTTCTAAAAAGTCATTAAATCCCATCTACTGTTATATTCTGCTGAGATGTTCTGAGATGCCAATTTTGTTGACTTGGTACTTTTCTCAGATTCTCCACAATTAGATAAACAGACACACTATAATTTCATCTAAAGCAGACATAAATATCAACCTCAGAAATAGAGCATAAAGTAGATGATCACCTGTCAAGAGGTATTTAGAAGAAACACCTGTACTGGTTGAAAACTGTACTTAATATGTTCAAAGATCTCTTCTAAACCTAATTTTAGTTATAATTAATTCTTTCAAAACTTTAAACTTACTTTATTATTTTATTCCCTTAGCTACACTCAACAAGGTGGCTCACCAGGATCTGCTAGCCTTCTCAACACACCCTAATGGTTGGCTGCCCCTAATAATTATTCTTCTTTTACAATGCTCCCTTTGAAGATTATTTTTAGGGGAGGATGGATGTGGGGGACAGAGAGGGACATGTAGGATAGAATCATACAAAGAAGTGTAAGATCAAGTTCAGGGGATTCCTGTTCTTCAATCTCCTATAATTCAGGCCCTTAATAAGACTTTCAAATATTTAAATGCAATAACAACTTTTTGAAAACAAAGGAATGCAGGTCAAAGAGGAAATCATAAAGGAAGTTAAAAAATAGTCTGAGATAAATTTTAAAAGATCTAACATATACTAAAACTTACAGGAAACAATAAAATACCTTTAAATATCTACATTAAAAAAGATATCAAGTCAATACCCTAACCTTCCACCTTAAGACACTGGAAAAAGTAAATGAAGCTATATCTAAAGCAAGTCAGAAGAAAGAAAATTAATATCAGAGTAGAAATTAGTGAAACAGAGAACAGAAAAATAGAGAAAAATCAATGAAACCAAAAGTTGGTTCTTTGAAAAGACCAAAACTGGCAAACCTTTAGCTGCACTGACCAAAAAAAAACAAGGATAAAGTACTAAAATCAGGAATAAAGAGGGGACATTACTACCTATGTTACAGAAATAAAAAGGATTATAAAGAAATTTTATTAACCATTCTACACAAATAAATTGGACAATTTGGATGAAATAGACAAGCACTTAGAAACAAACTATCAAAACTGACTTAAGAAATTTTAAAAAGTTTAAATAGCCATAAAGAGATTGAATCAGTAAACAAAGGTCATCAAAGAAAAGCCCATGCCCAAATGGCTTCACTGGCGAATTCTACCAAACATTTACAGAAAAATAAGTACAAATTCTACACACTCTTCCAAAAAATATGAAGGAGGAGCACTTCTCATTATATAAAGCCAGTTATTATCCTGCTACCAAAACCAAAGACAACAGCACTAGAAAACTATAGACCAATATCTCTTTTAAATAAGGATGCAGAATTCCTCAACAAAATATTAGCAAGCTGAATCTGGCAACATAAAAAAGGGATTATACACCATAGCCAAGTGGGATTTAGCCCAGGAATGCAAAGTTGGCTTAACACTGAGAAATCAATTTCATACACAGTATCAACCAAAGAAACATAGGAATCATTCTTTGCATACAATAGAGAAATGTAACAAAGGAGGGGGGGAGTTCAAACTTCCTTAAACTTTAAAAAATGGGGTATAAATAATACAAGTGAGAGACAAAAAGGATGGAGGACACATGGGGATGTTCTAGATTCTCCAGACTACAGAAAAATGAAAATGCAATATCTGACCCTAGACTGGATCCTGTACTGGAGAGAGAAAAATGTTATAAAGGTCATTTTCAGGTCAATTGACATAATGAGAATTTAGATGGACTTCATCACAGTAAATGTATCAATGTTAAACCTACTAAAATTAATAAGTTTACTATGACTCTGTAAAACAATATCCCTAATTCTCAGAAAATACACACTGAAAAGTTCAGGTGTACAGGGTCATAATGAATGCTGCAGAGAGGGGGTGGAGGATGGGGGAGGAAAGACATGATAAAACAAATGGAGTAAAAGGTTAACAACAGATGAATTCTGCTAGTTTCTTTCTAAAATTATTTACAAGTAAATTTAAGAACACAGAAGAAGAAAAAGAAAAACAAAACCCATAATTTATAAGAAAGTGCTTATATTACCAGGTTTTTTTCTTTTTTACATTCCTTTTTGTAAGACAGATAATATGAAACAGTGGAGAAAGCACTGGCTAGAGTTTTACTTCTTTTACTGATAGTCCACAAACATGTTTTCTAATGTGTAGAACAGATTTGAGTTAGATGAATAATGAATCCTGGTAAGGAATACAACACAAACACTAAAAACATTACTGTTCTAAATAGCAAAACTTTATAGTTGTATCTTGATACTTTATGCCCATTACTGGTCACATCTAGAATTTTGAGTGCTGGGAAAAGTCTCTAGGAACTAAAAACCAAGAAGACTGTATTTTGGTTGGCATGTTCCACACATTTCTAACTTAATGCATTTCACACTTCTCCCATTCTTTCAGTTGCTACTTGCTTCTTTCTCTGCTTATCAAATAGCTTCATGTCTGAATGAACAGTTTATAAAGTGCTTATCATACAGTATAAAATTTATTACAAATCTACATATAGGGCCTCCTGCTCTTCCAAGGAAAAGTGCTGCACAGTGCTGGGTATATAACAAACAACTTTATTAATGTGAAAGTATTATTTTTATTATAATTGTAACGCCAACACCATTAATAATTCTGTACTGGTGTTGACTTCAGGATATTAGTTCCTCTTCTAAAAAAAAAAAGGATTTATTTTAATGTGACCATACAAAAACCTCATGTTCTACTATTACCTCCTTAATAAGAGACTACAGTCACTTGTATTCCAAAACAGCCTGCTTTCCCAATCTCCATGCCTTTCCACACACTGTTCTTTCAACTTGAATCGTCTTTCTCTAGCTTACTCCCTCCTTACAGAGTTGCCATTTGCATATGTACTTGGTCATTATTACACTTTTGCATTTAATTGCTCCG